AAGCTGGGGTGGGGGGAGAGGGGAGTAATGGATTGAAGTATTCTTATGTTCTTAAGTAGGCATGTTGTAATTTCTAGGATGACTTGCAAAGGATTATAAACCAAACATACAATTTCCAAAGTAGAAGAAAAATAATTTAAATTTATATTTTTATACCAACCTAAAATAAAAATAGGTTGGACAAAAGGCACAAAAAATAATATTTAAAACCTAAACATCATAATAATTATGTTCAATGTAAATCAACTAAAACTCCCATTAAAAAGTCAGAGAGGATTTAAGAAAATCCAACTACATTCCATTTATAACACACACACCTATAACATAAGGATACAGAGTTGCCAAGTAAAATATAATCCTAACCAAAAGGAAGCCAGCATCATTGTATTAACACTAAGAAAAATAAACTTTAAGGAATAGCATTACTAGAAATAAAAAGGGCACTCTATAATAAAAGACTGAATTCACTACCCAATATATGTAATATCTGGAAGCCTTCAATTGAAAGACATAGCTCATGATATTGGGACTGAAAGCAAATCTTGTGTACACAAAGAAAATCTTCATTGAACAAAGAGGGAAAACGAGTGAATTAGACCACAAACTGATTATTTTGTGGTCTTGCAGTTGCTAGATGTCCAGACATGTGTTATCAAGTAACTTCTCACCATTCCACAAAACTGGATTCTGAATAAGCTCTCCTTTTTTTCAGAGAAGAGAACTAACCTTTATGAAGCCTACTCTGTAAGGGACTAAGGCTTCCCTTACCTGTGGATAAAATACTAAGCAACTTGCTCAGCAACACACAAAAGATAAGTGAAATTAGTAATTAAATTGTGACTTCCAAAACCCATGGCCAGTGCACTATTCCAAAAATCAAAGTGCCTGCCTTATCAGCCTATTGTTACATATTGTATAGTAATATACTAGTTATTTCTTTACAGAAAATGACTACTTTGTGTGGAAAATCACTAAAAATTACAAATGTCTGAAAGCAAGAGTTCAAGGGAACCAATAATATTCCAAAGTTAAGACTTCCCTTTACCTGAGACCTCACATCTCCCTCCAAATACACTTTAATCAAATGTATATTTAAGACACTGCTGTTCTATTAATAACATTTTCAGTGGTCCAGAGGCTCAAACTTTATTTGGCTCCAACACAACCTTATAGTTTGAGTATCATATTCTTTAGGCTCACTTTTTTCAATTCTGGGATGTCAACAGCTGACTTAGAACAGACTTGTCTTTGAGACCCAAGCCAAATGGACTCCTATTTGAGAACATTACCTATCTTCTGTCCAAGGGAGCTCACTATCTAGAGTATCATCTGATCCAACAGCAGAGAAATGTACCTGGGCTAGACTAAGAACTTGGTGAAAATTCACCTAACAATAACAAAAACAATTTACTCACATGGTGGGGGGAAATACATATATATACACACATATATGCGTGTGTATGTATGTATGTGTATATATATGTATATACACACATATATACACAGATACATACACACATACATATATAAAAGAGAAAAAGCTTAGGAGCCATCACTGAACTATATGTAAACAAATTTCATGTTGGACCACTCCATGACCATAAATACTGTAGCTTTGCTCCTGGAGCAGAGTAGAACTCAAGCAAGTGTGCTTTATGAATTCTACGCTGATGTATAGCTAAGGGAGTTTAAATCAAGGCAACTCCCTTTAAAGACCAATACAAATGCCTCATAAATCATCACTGCTCTGTTATGTAACCTTGGATAGTTATCTTTGACTGATTTCCACATTAAAATGTTAATACTACCTACCTCTAGAAGCATTAAATTAGTTAACAATACACAGTAATTTGTGCTGTTATATTATTTATCCTTACTGTGTTCTTCTGTACCCTCTTTACCTTAGAAAATCAAGTGTAATTAAATGTAATAGGTAATTAAATGTAATAAGCTCTTCAAAATTACAGCCCCCTTTCCCAAAAAAGTCAAAATGTACAAAGTTTCTGAACAAATTGTAAAAATGTATCAACCCGTAGCAGTTAAAGTGCAAAAGTGGTTACTTTTGTAACCAAAAGTACAGGGGCCACATTCTATGCCATGTGCAACAATATGATCTAGTGGTCTGATATCAATGTACTAAACAACCTACAAGGATGGGCAAAAGCAACAACACTCACCTTCTAACGCCTACTCTGCCCAACAAGAACTTCTTATTCAGATGAAATTAATATAAAATGGCACTTAATACTGCCATTAAATAGGTCTTTCATAAAAAGAATGTTATAAATACTTCCCTGTTTCCCACTTCTTTGTAGCATTCACTCAATATTATAGGTCTATGATTGTTTCGCTCATGTTTTAAGATATTATGTCCACATAGATGCTAAAATATTTACTCTAGGAATCAAATAAAAACAAAATAATTACAGCTTTGATCAGATTTGAGAATCTGAATAGACTGATCATCAGTTTTCAAAACTAATCAGGATTCATTCTAATTTTCATTAGCATTTCAAATTTAAAACCAAAAAACAAAGATGGATTTCATTTTGACATCTTCATACCTTGACGTCAAATAGATATGCCTCTTTTAGCAAGCCCCTTTTCCTCTGAAAGATTTTTTTACATTTTTTTAAAGTTTATTTTTGAGAGAGAGAGAAGACCATGTGGGGGCAGGGGAGGAGCAGAGAGAGAGGGAGACACAGAAGCCATAGCACGCTCCAGGCTCTGAGCTGTCAGCACAGAGCCTGAGGCAAGGCTGGAATTCATGAACCTTAAGATGAGGACCTGAGCAGAAGTTATACACTGAACTGAATGAGCCACCCAGGTGCCCACAAAAGAGCTGTTTTTAATGCAATTTGGGGAGTTTAAAATCCAATCAGTAACCTGGAGACAATACTGGGCAAATAGCATTTTGGATTAAATTAATTCTGGACAAGTTGTTGGATTTGGGATTTTTTTTTAATCTCTTGAGGACAAGAACAGTCATGTGCCACATTTAGCATTAGTTTAATATTTTGTCAAAAGTCCAGTATCAAAAATAGATACTTTGTGTAGAAACTAATTTGACAATAAACTATTTGTAAAAAAAAAAAAAAAAAAAAAAAAAAGAAACAGAAAAAAAAAAATAGATACTTTGCAAAAGATAAAATTTACACAGTTCAAACTGATATTAATTTAAAATTGCATTTATCAAATTAACATAATGTTGACCTGATATGATAATCTATAAAGTCAAGTTTTCATAACCAATGCTTAGTTCCATCTATCCTTCAAAGAACCAATCTTCTTAGAAGTAAACTGCCCATTTTAGATTTGAATTCTTCTTAATTAAAAAAAAAATTTGTTTTATTAATTGAACAGCTTCAAAGAAGCATGAAACTTAGTCCCAGAAGATAACTGTAAGCCTTATTTACCTCCTAATAGCTTGAAACAAGTTGCTCTCTATATAAGGCTTTTCCCTTATCCAAAGGTTCAATGCTACTACTTTCTAAATAAAATAAATAAGTACAAAGTATTAATGTAAGCCGACAAGAGGATTTAAATATTAATTTAAAGAGATATTTTGATGCTACCCATTTTCAAAATCAGCAACTTTTGTGAAAGCGCTTCTGAAACCAGGCAAACACTGTTATGAGCTTTCAAAGTGCAGTCAATACAGAACTAGTTAGTAATCATTTAACAGGCAGTGATGATCTAAAATAGGGGCTTCTTGAGCCGGATTCATTCTCTATGCCTAGCCCTCCCAGATGCGACCGCATTCCGCCACTCCTTTCATGGGAAGTAGGGGCACAGACAAGATACCAGGCTACAAACTTGGCCCATTTAAGTTCACATTAATGCTTCATTTCTACCTCATACTTCCTCCACCCGGCCCCCATCCCTCGGAAAAACAACACAGCTAGATAAGTAACCTATTTTAGGGAACTTCAATAAAGGAACTAATTTGTAAGAATGCAAAAGTCCTAACAGAATTAAAAAGATTGCAGGCCAAATCGTTTATTTTCATTTTAGGACGGTTTACAGGATTAGATTAACTAGGATAAATTCTCCCCTGATATGAAGGACCCATCTAAATTCTAACCGTACTGGAGGTATACACACACAAAATATTTTGATAATAACAGCTACCATGAGATTTTAGATGCTTTAATTCTTTAAAGTCCCAGCCGTAGAGGCCCTGCTTCATCACCCATCACCTAACATCCATACTTCCCTCGGGTACCAATAAAAGGATTAAGACCAAAGATAAGCAGGTGGAAGTTTGAAAGCCAAGGGCTGGATTTATTTACTCACTATTAATTTCCATATCCCACCACCTCCCTACAACTCTCAGTAAAGTTCAGGACAACCCACACCGGGGTCTCCAATCAAGCCCAGGCGGCGGCCACGTGTCTAGGGAAGCCGCCCGGGGTTTCCCCTCCCAGCACAGTCGCCGCCTCCAGTGGGCGGAGAGCCCAGGAGCCTCGCAGCCTCCCCGCCCCCTCCGGGCCCCGTCCCTTCACATCCCCTCCCTCCCATCGGAATTCGCAGCCTCCGCCGTTCTTTCCATCCCCCAGCGGCCTCCCTCCGGGGATTATTTTGGAGAAAGCGGGGGAGCCGAGTAGGCGGTGGGCTCGGCGCTCGAACCCGGCCGGCACCCCAGACGTCTCCCGGTCCCCAGCAACACGGCCGCCGCCGCCTCGGAGCGCCTGAGCGGAACCGCGGCCTCGCTCCCGTCCGCGCGGAGAAGCCGGTGGGGCTCAGGGTACCTCGGCGCACCGCAGCACGGCCCTCGGGCCTCCCCGGCCGCTCCCGAGTCTAGCGCCAGCCGATCCGGAGGCCCTCGCAGACTACGGGGACGAAACTCTGCGGACCGCTCGGGCTCCGGCCTCACTGAGCGTCCCGGGAGGCCCCGTAGGCCAGCGGCCCCCGCAGCCGGTTCCCCGTCCCTCCCCGCCGCGCAGGCCGCCTGACCAATTCTACGTTCGCCCCTTCCCTTCCAGACCCCCATCCGTTACCGGTGGCGAGCACGGGGAGCCAGGCGGCCGGAGCTGCGCAGGCAGTGACTCAGGGCGGCGGCGGGAGGAGCAGGAGGCGGCGCCGCGAGCAGATGGCGCTAAAAAAGACCCGAGAGCCCGCCGCTCGCGCTCATATACAATTAGCGTCAGCACGTAGGGCCCGCTCCACCGCCCCCCCAGGCCTCGCCGTCTCCTAGCAACGCGGGCGGGAGGCGGGCCCAGGGCCGGTTGCCTAGCAACAGAACTGTCCTTCTTCCCTGACGACCTCCACACCCTCCGCGCCTTGCTTGGGGTCCCCGGCTTCCCGCCTCCGCCCCCTGCTACGCACCGCGCCATCTCTTTTCTCCCCGTCGCACTGGAAAAGAAGTCTCTTTGACCCCTTCGGTCCCTGGCGAGGGCCGTGACCCGCACGCCTCGCCCGTGGCCCACCTCTCTCTCTTCGGCCTGTTGCAGCTGCCGCGCGCCCCTGTCCCGGCCTAATTCTTGCAACTCCCTGGTCCCCGGCAACCATTTTCTCTCCCCGCTCATTTTTTTCCACTCTAAGAACAAGAGTTCTTATCCCCTGACCATCTTGGCGACGTCTTCTGCCGGTTTTGCTTCTAAGTCGGTGGGTCTCAGTGGCTTGCGGGGCTGCCTCCTCATCCCTACCCCTCCATCCTTTTACCTAACGTGCTACACGTTAGGTACTTTTGATGAAAATGGCATTATTTGTTTATTGTCTGTATGCTTTATAATGAGGACACTGTTGTTTCATCTTGCTGAAAAAGTAAATTTTATGTAAATCCTCAGGCCTGTGAAACACCATGGCTGTTTTTCACTTGGTGCTGGATTGACTAACGTTAACTCTTAAAACAGTGGTTCTCAAAAGTGTGGTCCTCAGACCCTTTCCAGGGGGAAGTCAAAAGTATTTCCATAGTAATATGAAGACGTTATGTGCCTTTTGCATTCTCATTCTCTCGTAAGTGTACAGTGGAGTTTTCCAGAAACGACATGACATGTGATATGGAAACATTGAAAAAAGAAGTAGATTAATAAAATCCAGTCACCTGCAGTTAAATCAGGCATTAAGGAGATTTGGAAAAACGTAAAACAAGGCCACTCAATTGTTTTGTAAAGCAGTTATTTTATATATATAATGTTCTTTTATGTTATTATTTAATTGGTTTATTGTTTTTAGATGAAATAATGAATACTTTTTAAATTTCTTAATTTCTGATATAAATGTCAGTATCTAGAATGCACAGAATAGTTTTTTGGGTCCCCCAGGTTTTAGAGTATAAAGGGCTCCTGAGATAAAAAAAAAGTTTGGGAACCTCTTCTCTAAATGCTTCATTCCTTTAAATTTCAAACTGCCTGGAGTCGTCTATTGTAATGTTCACATTTAGCAACTGTCTCTATTCCATTTTAGAGGATACAGCTTTTCTTCTTTGCATTCCCAACCTCATTAAAATTACTTGCCTTTCCCACTCTGCTGCAGATGCCTTAGTTTACCCTTTCATTGTGGTTCTTCATATGCAATTCTTTTGCTTTTTCTCCATCTTCTTTCTTCATAAAGATCCTACTCAACAATGAAGTAAGGTTAACAAGTACTATAATAATGTCAGTAATGACTCCTCATGAAGAATCCACAATACATAAACTAGGGTAGACCAGTGCCCAATATCTACGTATACTTGGCACTAATTTCAATAGAAGCCTCAAGAGCATTGCGTTCCAATCAAAGCTATGCACAATGCAAGGTAATTAGCTTATTGAAAATTAACTAAATAACTTTCACCTCCTTTCCATAAATCTTTGTGGTGGTAGAACTTCTGAGACCAAATTGAGAAGTTAGCCTTCATGATGGTTTCCGTCCCACTCCAGGGAGCCCCACCAAATTCTGTCACTGGTCTAAATCTCCTAATTTCTGATGCATCAATTCTTATCCCCATCTTACTGCCTTATATTCTTTTCCCTTTTCTCCAGCCACCTGCCTCCTCCAGCTCTTCCTCCAACTTTCTCCTTCCCTTCTTCCGGTGTATCTTAGCCTATCTAAGAAATGAAACACTATTATATTGCTAATAATGCAGGCCTTTTAACATGATCTTTTGAACCATAGTTTGTAAATCTAAAACTCTACCATTTAAGTCAAGCGAAGGTCAATCATTTATACATTCATTCAACAAATAAGTTAGGAACAACTTGAGACACTGAAAATACAACATGTAATAAGAAAGACAACCTTCTTGGTTTTACTGAACTGATGTTCAAGTGAGGTAGGGCAAGTGACAGATAAGAAATGAAATAATTTTAGATATAGGTAAGTAAAAGAGCTATGAACAAAATAAAATGAGACAAAGGGGTAGAAGTTGACTGACCTGTAGATACCATTGAACTTTCACATTGACTCCTCTTAGACTCCCCAAAATACATAATGCAGTTAACTCTAATTTAATTACAATAAATGGTGCCCCTCATCACTGATCTTGAACCATGTTAAACTTTCTTTTTTTTAAAATTTTTTTTAATGTTTTATTTATTTCTAGGAGAGAGAGAGACAGCGTGAGCAGGGGAGGGTCAGAGAGAGAGGGAGTCACAGACTGAAACAGGCTCCAGGCTCTGAGCTGGCAGTCAGCACAGAGCCCGACGCAGGGCTCGAACCCACGAACCGCGAGATCATGACCTAAGCGAAAGTTGGACGCTTAACTGACTAAGCCACCCAGGTGCCCCTAAACTTTCATTTAAAATCCCTTTTTACTTCATTCCCCCATTATTTTCACTTAGTAGGTTTTTACAGCATTGAAGCCTAGTGGCTTAGAAGTGTGGCTTTGGAGTCAAATCACCCAATGTTCATCTTGATTTTGTTGTGAAAGTTGAAACACTTTAAGTTGCTTAACATGATACTTGGCAGAGTTAACACCCAATCAAAGTTAACCATTATAAACTTCTTACTGAGCTTTTATTTTGTTTTTGTTTTATTTAAAGGTTGAGAGAACTCTCCCGAAGCTCCCTCTAATAGTATCTGACGGTGTTTCTGTGAAATATTTTATAAAAGCTATCTTGTCACAAATCTTAAAACATGTTTTTCTGAACTGAAATAATCCACATCAATTACCACAAAAGTACTATACTCCACATTTCTAAATATTGGATACAGACACTATAGAACTCAACCTTTGGAAAAATCGATGACAGATAATTTCTTAAATGTGCTTATGCTTGTAATTCAACCCCTAAATAGTGGGGAAAGTACACAGGCTTGAAAGTTAGGCAGGCATAGGTTCATCCCAACATTCTGTGATTTTGCAAAAGTATTTACACTCTCTGACCCCTAGGCTCTCCATCGATTAAATGCATTAATAAATCTTTTTTTTAAATTTTTTTTAATGTTTTATTTATTTCTAGGAGAGAGAGAGAGACAGCGTGAGCAGGGGAGGGTCAGAGAGAGAGAGAGTCACAGACTGAAACGGGCTCCAGGCTCTGAGCTGGCAGTCAGCACAGAGCCCGACGCGGGGCTGGAACCCACGAACCGCGAGATCATGACCTAAGCGAAAGCCGGACGCTTAACCGACTAAGCCACCCCGGCGCCCCAATAAATCTATTTTTTTAAGTTTATGTATATTTGAGAGAGAGAGAGGACAATAGAGGAAGGGCAGAGAAAGAGAAGCCAGAGAATCCCAAACAGGCTCTGTACCTCCAGTGCAGAGCCCCACACGGGGCTGGAACTCACAAACTGTGAGATTGTGACCTGAGCCAAAATCAGGAGTCGAATGCTTAACTGACTAAGCCATCCAGGCACTCCATAAAGTGCATCAATAATTCTAATAAAATCATCCTCTTCATTAGCATGAGATAGAGAAATATATGTAAGTCCCCAGAGCAACAACTTGTACTTTAAGTACTCAACGAACATTTACTTTCACCAATTAATCAGTAGGTAAAATGTCTAATGGCACCAATAATAATTAGCATGTAAAAACTGCACAAAATACATATAAATAACTTATTTTTGTTTTTAATCTGGGTAGTTTTATTTTTTCATTTTCCCACCCAAACTATTATATAAATGCAACATAAAGTCAATCAAAATCCCAGTGGGGAATTTTGGACAAGTTGCCTTAAATTTTTCTCTCTCCATCCAAAAAAAATTAATAGATTTTCATTTGAAATTATCTTTATTTTGCTATCATTTCTTTTTTTTAAAATGTTTTATTTATTTCTGAGAGAGAGACACAGCGTGAGCAGGGGAGGGTCAGAGAGAGAGGGAGATAGAGAATCTGAAACAGGCTCCAGGCTCTGAGCTGGCAGTCAGCACAGAGCCTGATGTGGGGCTTGAACCCATGAACCTCGAAATCATGACCTGAGCCGAAGCCGGGCATTTAACCAACTGAGCCACCCAGGCGCCCCTATTTTGCTATCATTTCTAATCGAAATTTGTATAAAAATGACTGTAAATTCACATGCAGTTGTACAAAATAACACAGAAAGGTTTGTGTAAACTTCACCCCGTTTACCACAATGGTAACACCAATTCACAATCTTACTCAGATTTCCCCAGTTTTACTGGATCCACTTGTGCGTGTTTGTGTGTTTAGTTCAATGTTACCATGTGTAAGTATGTGTATCAATTATCGCAGGCAATATACAGAATACCTCAGTCACCACAAACATTTATCTCTTATGCTGCCCTTTGATGATACACTTTTTCCCAATTTACATGACAAATATGGTTCCACCTTCCCAGATTTTACTTCCCACCCTCCACCACCCCCTCCCCCAGCTTCACAAATAGACAATTTAGGCAGAAAATAGGCCATTGTGTGAGTCTTCAATAGTTTTTACCTTAACTATTTATTTGCAATAGCTTTGCAGCTGGTCTCCCTAATACTGACCTTTTATTCCTCTCTGATCCACATTGCCGAAGTTATGGTTCCAAATACAAATCCAATCTAGTCTACTTTGTCATAAATCCTGCAATGGCTCTTTGATGTCTGCATGACAAAGTAATGCCAACAAAGTCCATCTTCATCTGAATCCATCCTATTTTTCTAGCCATATCTCCCACTACCCGCTGTCATGAACCCCATACGTTATGACTTTAAATTTCTCGCTAGACAACCCTCAACAGCCA